GCCATGAGTGGCCGGCGTGTGACTCCGTTTCTCAGAAGGTAGATGTATACTCGTCTCAGTTGATTCGAGTGGGTGAGGTTCTGGAGAGGTTATCTGCGTTCCTTTTAAGTGACTGGGATCAGTTCAGCCAAGGGGGTGATCCGCGTGTGTTCCAAGGTAAAGGGGTTTCGCTTTGCAGGTATCATAACTGGATGGGCTCCCCTTCACCAGCAAGAGAGGGCTCCGATCCCACAGGCTATTTGCGTGTTTATTTGCCGGTCAACCAGTTGCGTATGGTTGCCAAATTCCGTCTTTTTTGTTGGCCTTTGGAGGTCAACAAAGGACACCATAGGCCGAGAGAGTGCCGTACGTGTCAGGTCTGTACGTCGGGTAAGGTTGAGGATGAATATCATGTGCTCATGGAGTGTGAGGCGTATACTGAGTTGCGTAATAGGTTTCTGATTAACGTTGAAGATACTGATATGCGCAAGGTATTTCTTAATACCAATCCGAGGAAAATCGCTACTTTCCTTACTGAGGTTTTTGATGAGCGTCAACAGCGTGCTCTGGAGCCTCACGGCTCGTGAGGGCACCCGCCGCGTCGGCGGCGGAAATACTGTAACCACAATGACAATGACAATTACGACATAATCGATGTTTTACCGTACATGGCCATGTAAGTCCTTGCGTCCTTGCGCCGGGATGCTGCCAGCATGCTGCCAGCTGCTGTTTAAGCATTCCCGCTCAGACCGCATACCAGTCCGCAGATGGAATAGGGAGGGCTCTCGAGACGATGCCACGGGACCAGGCGCTACCGCCGCACAGGCTTGGGCTGTGGGGCTCGTCTCACTCGCGAGGCGCAACACCCTTTCATCAGGCGTCGCCAGCAACTCTGACAAAGCATACGCAACACCGCTCGGTTTAGTGAAGTCGCTCACTTTAACGTCAAATATGCTTTCCGAGGGGGAGACGGAGGCTGTAGGCATATATAGCTGTAAGTTGTGAAGGTTTTCAACCAGCGAGCAGGGGCCTGCATGAAACAACGATCGATTTATAACGCTATGCCATCCACTTCGAGGGCCACGCTTAGAGTCTCCGTTTGTAAGGAATGCGGCGCGGGGCCGAGGCGTGTATGCCTATGCTTGGTGCCGTTTGCCGGCGGCCCCTGATCCGGGTTTAGCCCGGGTGTTAGTTTGTTATTATGCCTTCCCTGGCATGCTGTACAACGTTTGGGTGCAGGGGGGCAGCACCGGCATCAGCATCAGCATTGTACATGCGCCAGGTGCGGTGCGTACGGCAGGCTTGATGAACCCCTGTCGTGCTCTCCGCCGCGGGCACATGGATGACAGCACACCTGTTGCAAGGACCTTTCACACAGCAGGCAGGCGCACATGCTCCTAGCAGAGGCGCTGCTGGACATGCAACAGCGCGCATGGGACAAGATTGGTTTTGGAGCACTGTTTGCTGTACATAACATTGCATGTGCGCGGGTGGGACGGGGCGCAGCCACCATCCACCCATCACACTGCTCCCGGCGTGAAAGCTGAGTCCAAGCTTTAGGGCTTTGGGGTTTTAGGGTTGGATACCACAATCCCGGTTTAGGTGAGTGGCAAATGATGCTTTTAGAAGTCAGGGCTACCACTCATCCCTATGGCAAAAGAAGGCACGGGGAGTGTTGGCGTGTCTGAGGGAGCTTGCGGATGCAGGTAGCTAGCTAGACATGCATGCCGGGTGCGATTGACGGGGCTGGGAAGGGGTTGGCTCTGTCCAACATACCCTCGAGAAGAAGCTTGGACAGGTGCGCGGCACGACGACGTATGTGGGTTGTTAGCACTCGGGACAGCGCGTGCGAGGGGGTTCGTATTTGCGAGGCACGGATGTGTCAGTGTATCGGTTACAAGCATTTATCGATGACGACTACCCAAGAGAAGCATCGCAATCGTAGAGCGCAGCTTAAAAGCATCATTCAGTTCTCGTTTCAATCCTAAGCAGAGATGCGTTTGTTCTCCTTCAGCTTGCTTACTACCATATCTGTACAAATATACAAACCTACACGCAACCTATCATCATCGAGCTTCATCATGCAACGAGGCTAGGAAAGCAGCAGCACCAGTAGCAGCAGTAGCACGACACACGGCCGAGCTACCAAGTAGTAGCAGCCAACATCGACGCCGCTCATGTAACCAATAACTTAGGGTTTTCCCTTACCCCAACCCTGCAATCACATATGTACACAAGCAACACCGATGCTCCCTTTCTACTGACACACTAGTATGCATACTAGTATGCGTCAAGCTCTAGCCGAATAAAGTTCGCAAGTTTTGCGTATATGTAGCAATCTTGGCATTGCAAATCCTCCACATCCCCTATGACTCAAGGCCTGAATACTATTCACGAGGAAGGGACATGAGAACCCCGCTGTAAGTGAATACCCGACCGTCCAGCCTTTAAGCCAGCCAGATAGAGCAGCTCGCTATTGCTTTGCTGCTGGCCCAGCCGCAATAGCGCAAGTAATCCTTAGATTAATCATATACCGGCCCTAACCAGGCTTGCTTGCGATGTACATCGCACACGCACCAACGGAACGCGCGAGTACATAGATGTTGCTTAAGCTTGAGGCGCCGCCATAGGCGACGTGTGCGCGTTGAAACACAAAACCAAAACATATTAAGTGGATCGAAATATAAATCCGGTAGGCCCCGACTTCTAAGCTATATACACTCCTACTTTGCGCTCTGGCGAGAGCCATTCATAATGTTGCTCGCTCGCACCCTGCCTGGCCTTTTCCATCACTATATGCACTATTGCAGTACCGTCGATCGCCTTGTCGGCGGCGGCGTCTCACAGCCCGCCGGCAACCTTTAATTAAGCCGTATTCTTGATGAATCATGAAGCACGCTACGCCCTTCCCTAGCGTGCAAGCAAACTGGAATATGTTATTTCGGGGCATACCAAGATACATAAAAGAGGTACCGGCTAAAACCCCTCGCAGTTGGACGGAATAATGCGCTTGTACCAGCACTCCCGCCCTCTTTGAGTTCTCACGCACGCAAACTGAGTCGCCCAAACCTTGTACCTCATATCACATGTCGCGAGCCACGAATTTGTTGGACAGGTGGAATAACAATGAAGACTCGCTGCGACCATATTAGGCAATGTGACCCGCTGCGCGCTGTTGCAATCCTTACTAGGTGCTCGTCCATATGCCTGATGAATGATAGCTGACGGCTCTGTCCCTGCCTCGCCCCACCACGAATCAGAGCAAGACGTTTTAAGGTAAATCCATGAATCTGTAGGATAGGTACGTTTTAACGCTGCAGAGCCAAAGCGTAGCGGTCAGTGACGGCCACCACGGCTACCGAGGCCTAGCTTCCAACTGCGCTTCATATCTGAATGTAGTCATGAAGATTCAAAACAACAGGATGGGTATCGCACGTACATACAGCCATTTGCTTAGCTGGTGGAGGCTGCAACTTCTCCTATGCGACGTGCGTGGATGGGTGACGTGCCACGGGCAGATCGCCGCTCAGTGTCCAACCTGCAGTGCAGGGCCAAACCAAAGGAGCCGCATACGCATGAAGTGCATGCCGACTTTCATAGAAGACATCGGGACCCAGTGCTGCCAGGTTTGCTTGGCATCACCCTATCTCCAACCGAGTACATGTTTGCCGTCAACCCATAACGCAAAACCAGGGCAGGAGGTGTGTGCAGCTGTAAATGCACATCTACAGACACATGCATGCATATGTTCGGATCTGCTTAAGGTATAAAAAAGGTATAAAAATGTCCTAGATTATGTGATAATGCGTACTGGTGAATCAGCTTTAGCGCGCAAGTCAGGTGATATCTGAATCACGTTGCAGCGGCAGCACCAGCGGGTTAGTTGGAGCGTGCTGGAGTTCTAAGAAACACGTCTCGAAAATGGCGGAGCCCCCCAATCAAGGTGCTGTTATCCTATACGGGACCGATCGATTGACAATGCGAATTTTGACTTGGCTCAGTGCTAGCAAAAGGATATGCAAAGACGTACCGTGGGTGGTGACGGCCTGGGTGACGGCGGCGGCTTCCTAGGCGAGGGGGGGGGCGACTTCTTCAACGGTGGTGGCGACCTGGTCAGCGGTGGCGGCGACCTGGTCGGCGGTGGCGGTGGCGGCCTGGCCGGTGGCGGCGGTGACGGGGGCGGCCTAGCCGGTGGCGGCGGGCTGGGTGGCGGCGGGGAGGCGGTCCCCACCACGTCAGTTAGAGACGGACACTGACTATCCGCGGAAGTGTAACGACAGAGGTAAACCGTGATAGCGTCGCTTGCATTCACAGCACTTGTATAGATGACGAGGTTGTAGGCAGGAAGCACGGAGCGCGTGAAGGGGCTAACGGAACTGATGAATTGAATCCGTCGGTCGCTGTAGATGAAAGAGTTTGGATAGCCATTGTCCTGCATGGCAACAAGGAAGTTTGGGCGGAGAGGGGGCACATCAGCAGGCAGCCACGGGCCATACACCGCGCAATGGCAAAAACGTGTTGATGCTTCGCAAGACCGTTAGGCGCCTTTGCATACGTATGCAGTGCCTTGGCATGCACAGCCGACGCATGAACTGAAAAGGGATGCACGGCGACCGCAGCCCCAAATCCCATCTTCGCCAATCAACTTTCCGGCCTCGCGCTTAGCCCTGCAGTTCTGGACCGCCCAGGCGCGGTCCAGACCTCGCTTCGGTGCCCCATCACATACCCCGCGGCGCTAGCTCACCATGGTTGCGTTGACCTCGTGGACGTTAACCTTATTGGCGTACATACTGCCAAGCGCGGCGTCGCCAAGCTTATTGACGCGGAGTGCAAGATACAGGTTCTTGGCCAATGTGCTGTTTGTGTAACCAGGCAGCCAGTCCGGCAGCACACGCAGGTGGTTGCCGTCACCGGTGATATAGGTGGCTGGCAGAGACCATTTGGCGACACTGCCGGCGGTCTTCAGGACGCCGGAGTTAATGGCGCCACCGCCGACGGCGGGTGTGGCCCAGCCCAGTCGGGATGTCTCCGCGACGTTGGGGCAGGCATCTCCACGGCCCATGGCGGTCGAGTAGTCCTCGTATTCCCAGCCGTTGCGCCAGGAGTGCCACAGGCCTGAACGAGGGAACATAACGGAGAGAGAGAGAGAGAGAGAGGCAGGTCACGATTCCAGACATGAACAAACATGTCGCAATTGGAAAGCGCACGACAGGCGAACCTTAGCGGGCAGGCTGTAAGGCAGCAAGGGGTCCCAGTAGCGAGACGGGTGCAGGCGTGGAAAGGCCACATAGCCATGCATCATACACACACATGCACACACACATGCACACACACATGCACACACACACATGCACACACACACATGCACACACACACATATGCACACACACATGCACACACACATACCCGCATGACATGACACAACAGAACGCAAGGCCCAACACAAATGGTGAGATGATGATGCTCTATCTTGGCACGTAACACACAACCCCGCGCGGGCGCACCACGCTTTCTTAGACCCCCCTCCTCCCCGCGCACCGTAGTTGTGAATGCCTTCCTGCATCACCGTCGCCCAGCGCTGGACTCCGTAGCCGCTGCTCTGCAGCCATGTCTGGCGCCCGGGTAACAAAGCCAGGCCCGCCCAGGCGCACACGCTCTGCAACCCCGGAGGCAGCACGTATGTGAAGTGCGAGAAGGTGGAGAAAGCCGCAAGGCCGATCAGACTCTTGGCCGCGGCATCGGCACCCTGGGAAATGGCCCACCAGCTGCAGGAGCTGGTGACGGCGGTAGAGCAATTAATGCTGACGCGAACCGCCATGAAGGCAGTTGTGTTCAGGCCAAACTTGCCGTATGAGCAGTCGGAGTACTTAAGCGCGATGCCGCCTAGGCCATCCTTGTTGGGCCCCAAGTACAGGTTGCGAATGTCGTTCTCTGTCAAGGACGGCGCATAGCCACAAGAACCATAATCCAAAATCATCACCAGCAACTTCTGCTGGGTGCCATGTGGCGCTGGGGCGAAAGGCAGGACTTGAGCCGCTGACATCACGAGGCTGATTGTAGACTGGGCCGCGGCCACGCATGCCGGTGTGTTCGCATCGTCCGGGCATGTGCAGTTGCCACCTATGTCTCCACAGCCACAGTACTTGGGAGGGCCCACCTCGCATTTCTGGGGAGAGATGAGGTTTGGGAAGAGGATAGAGGACGCCACGTCATGTCAGGTCACGGCGCAGCAGAAAAAGGCCAAGGTGTGCATGTGCGGTGATACACAACGAAGAAAAGCTGCGTCTCAAGGCAAGTGAAATGCTAGACGGACAGACACGCGTGGAAAGGCTACGCGGGGGCCGACCGCGGGGCGGCTGCTACTATCTTTGTACTCTGGGGACATGGAATGGGACAGGGCATGGGGTCAGGGGACTTGCGATGGAAAGCGCGACAGCCCGTGTTCACGCATGCCGAGGGTTTATTAAGCGAAACTGCTGGGAAGAAGGGCTTTGGAACGAAGCGCGGCGCATGCGGTAATGCGCCTGACTAATGTTGCCTGCTGCTCTTTCGAGGGGTTAAAGCGTGTGAAATAATTTTTGTGTTTTAGATTCTTTTTTTGGTGGACGTCTATTTTGAATTGACTCGCTGGACTGAATCGGAAATGTGGGCGGCAAACTGGACCACTCGCCCGCCAAAATATGCGCCCGGCATTATTACTTGGAGAATGGCGGAGCAAATAGTGGGTCCTTTTCTCCCATCTCCTCTATCAACACAACCAACTTACCATTCCGACAATGGAGCCTGTTTCTAAGGGATTGTTGTCCTTATCGCCCTCCGGCAGCACGAAATCCGCGCTGAACGGGGTCACCACTCCCTCGGCATCGATTAAAGCATATCGGGCCTTGTTGTCGTGGGTATTTACCAAAGTGAGTTGTCCCACGAGATCAACGGTTTGCCCAACAGCCACTTGGGGAGAGGCCGGAGGGGGGCCCCTGATAGGCTTGCCAGGAAGCAGGCTGGCCCCTGCAAAAGCAGCAGCAATCAAAGCAGACGGGCGGACAAAATTTACTGATAGGGCAATAAAACTTAAGCTTTAGGAATATAAAATGTTGGCCTCCTTTTGCAGTGAGGCCACCGTCAGTGAGCTTTCTGAGTACCCATGACACTAAGCTTAAACTAAGCAGCCAAGCCGCGGAGACAAAGTTTTCGCCAAAAAAGCAGGTAGACATTACAACTACAGCAAGCTAGACTCTGTTGACAAGCTCGAATATTACATTAACGTACCTTCAGCTACCACAATGGCTAGCAAAGCGAAAAGCAGGACGTGTGGAGACCGCATCCTTTCAATGAAGAATGTATCCGATATGCTACGTATAAATGAATGATGGAGCCTTGAAATGTACGTTACTGGCTTCCCCTTAATAATAACAATAGCCAAGGCGATTCACAAACGTCTGAGCTGAGAGCTTGCGCTGTAGATTACTCCCTGACATAAATCTGACTCAACATCCTCAGTTCAACATAGCCCATTCAGCGTTTGTAGGACCAGGAATATTGATTTCAGTATATTATGTCTTTAATTTATATTCATTCTCCTATATAACAAAGTTGCGGGCGTTCGCCGTAGCTTCCGTCCGACAACGAACACCCTTCCAAACGTAACCACGGGGAACCCGCGCACGCCGTAAAAGACGCTTCCAGGAACACTAATACGTGCAACGGGTGATTTTGCAAGAAGAGTTTCATTGGGTTAGTCCTCGGCTCTATTTTCATCGTACATATTTCTGGCGGCGAGAAACGTTTCAGGCTTGGCTGGAAGGAGCACGGAAGCGCTTTGTCGTCCCCAATCTTATCCTTCCATCAGCATGACTTCAATGCCGCTCCTGCTACTAGACTTGGCTGGTGTGCTACATACTCCTAGCTTGTGCGCGTAAGTAGCGTGGGTAGGTAATGTACACGTGCGTAAACAACGGTAAATAACGTGCATGTACGCGGCGGCGGGCACCGTAGCAGGACCGTGTCCTCGACAGGACATGGTCTTCGACTCTTAGCAGTCTTTGGTTCGTGATAGCATGTGCACTCTTGCGTGCTCACTACAAAGGCCGGTGAGGTCAGGGGTGCACTACTGTGCGGCGCATGTCGTCATGCGGCGTTGGTGACGTGTGTTCGCAATGCTGCATTGCCCGTGGCTTATCTTATTTATGCATGCAGTTTCTTGGTAGCACCGCCATCCTTCGATGCGTCTCGAGGGGCGCCAAAAAGGACAGTCAGCTGAGCTATGCGGCGATCGCGAGCGCAGCCTGCCATCACAGTTGCGAATGGCGGGCGCGACATCCTGCAAAGAAGCTCTTTTAGGAAATATGTATTATATAACACTGTGCATGAAAGTCATCTGGAAAATGGATGCCCTCCATGCTCGTTAGGCTTGCCGCTTGCCGCACCGTCCGGAAACCCGCGCCCGCTAGATCTAACTTATAGACTTATGAAGGCTTACTTTGCGGATGGTGGTTACGACTGGTGATGCATATGAGCCAGTTACGCCGCCCTTACTAGGCTAAAAATGGAAGCCTGGCGTCATAGTATGCTCCAGTACACATGTAGCTCCGAACGCTTGGCTTCGACTATGCATGGTCGCCGCCGTAAATAGGATGAGTGTCGGCGGCACCAACCCATGCGGCTCCAAACTTGCACAAGGACAGTGCAAGAAGCCTAACAGGAAGCCGCGGGTACGTGCGCTCGAACTCCTGTTTAGGAAGCCCTGGGGGCCCCTCTCTGTTCATGAACGGAATGTGCCTAGCTACTTCGAAATAGCTAGGCACACGTACTGCGTCTGCCTTATGCAGGATAGGTTAGTCGAAGGACGTCGAGTCATATTGGGTTTAGGAGTCCAAGGGAGCTGAGGGTGGGCATTTTTATGCCGCGGGTTTAGGCTTAATCGATAGCGGGTTGGAAGATGTGTAGGGAAAGCACAAATGTTGCATAGAGCGGCTTAAGAATGCTGAAGAAGCCGCAAATTAGCAAGAGCCTTTTCGTGTTTTGTAGGATTACAGTCCTGACAGGATGGTGGGGAAATAGCATTGCCGTGTGAACAGGCAAACTTTTAAAAGGGGTCGAAGCAAAGCCGAAAAGGGGCTCGGCCCCGGTGCATCCACTTGACCCCCGTTTGATTCGCAGGGCAGTCCGTACAGCATAGGAATGCAAGCGCAACAACGCCGCCACGTTTGGGGTAAACACTTGTTATTGAAATTTTCAAACATTACAGGTCGGCAGACTTGCTACGGCGGTGTAGACCTGTCTGGATCGTTTTAGGGATTTTTTTAGCCATAGATAATCATTATTGACTGAACAGTTAGGCTTCTTGTGATGCGGCAATCCGTAGAATGACATACACACAAAGCAGGAGTGTCATTGCGGCAACGTATGTTGCCGCTGCTGCGCCAAATCCATGAGTCGGGACTGCCCGATACGTAGGTGGTACTACCGTTGCATCCATGTTCGACGCCGGCCCTTCGGTCTGCTGGCTGGCAGTTCAAGGCGCGCCAAAGTGCCAGTGCTTCATGGACCAATTGTTGTCCGCTCCCAGCCAGAACGCATTCGGGAATCGTTCCATTTGCATATTTTGAAGTCGGAATGCAGCGGCAAAGCTGATGGTGTGTCGCAAAGGCACACTTCGTTTGAACTAGGATTGAATGAATGAAGAAGAGAATAAGAAGGACAACAATCAAACAGGCACGAGCGAGATGCCAGGAGGGAGGTGCTTTTAGCGTTGCCATGCATGGCATCCCATATGGGATGGACTAAAGTTGCCGAGCATGAAGGAACCAACCCATAAAGGATCATGCCGTTTGCTTATGAAATCTATCATGTAAGGGACATGCAACGACGTCAGAGGCAAGGGCTGCGGCGTGAGGGGAAGTCAAACTCGAAGCCATGGAAAGCTATCTTCGCGCTCCGATTTGTCTGGTATTCTCCTTTGGCCAATCGATAAAGATCTCACCCTGGAAAGCTATCTTCGCCGACAGATATATCTGAATTCATTTCCTTGGTCTATCAATAGAGAATCAGGATAGCTTTCAGACGCAATTTAAAGTTTTAAATTGCGTCTTGCCCCGCTTAAGCGGAGCAAGATATGAAAGTTAATATGTTAGGGCCTGTTTCCACTGTCGAGTCTGTTTGTTAGCCGCGAAAAAGTTATTGGCGCGCTAACAAACCCTAACAAAATGGTGTTTCCACTAGTAGCCCCGAAACCATCTTTCTGCACGTCATTTAGCGCCAAAACACCCTAATTCGAGGACAATATTGTAGTCAGTATAGTACATTGTAGCGCTGCAGCTCGGAGGTGATGCTCTGCGAAGCGGCCTGGGCGGCAGCATGGACATCGGCGTCGAAGCGAAGAGACGGCGCGCCCTGCAGGGGCTGCTGCATCGTTGCCATAAAGGCGTTATGGATAGCAGAGGGCATATTGCCAGAAGGAATCGGCGAGGGCGACTGGTTCTGCGACATTTTCGGTTCGGTCAACGACGCAGGCCGGCAAGCAGTCAGGGTTGTAGACTGAAAGTGTACAGAAGACCGGGTGCAAGTAGATTTCAAAAAGGAGCTCACAAAATTTTCGCGCTCAAAGTTATCGGACCTTATTGGCTGGTCCGGGGGTCCTATAACTTTTATGGACTTACAGGGAGTCTCCACGTGGACGTTTGTTAGCGACCCTTTTAAAAATTCTCACCCTGGACGTCAGGTTTGCACGTTCTGTTTCGCAATATGACATATTCTATATAAATAAATGATAGAAATGCAAAAGATTTGACGGAAGGCGGAGGGATGGCGAAGAACGGGGAGCCCACGTTGAGACAAGGCCCTTGTTAAACGTCCAATAAGTCCGCAAAATTTATAGGCTGCCCCGGACCAGCTTTAAGCATTGTTAAATTTGTTAACTTTGAGCGCGGAAAATCTCGTGACTTCTTTTTAAATTATAATATCACCCGGTCTTTCCTTTGCTTTCCGTCTACTACCTTGACTGCTCGCCGACTTTCGCCGTTGCCGTTGACCAAGAATGTCACAGAACCAGTCGCCCTCGCCTGTACCGTCTCAGAACTATCCTACTTCATTACACAATGCCTTAATGGCAACCATTCAGCAGCCAATGCTGAGTCCGCTGCCCAGACTGTTCAGCCTTGCGGACGTCCATGCTTAATGGCAACCATTCAACAGCCCAGCGGCAATTTGCAGGACAACTGCCGTCCTCATTTCTCTTTAATGTTCAAAAAAATTTTGCTCAAGCAGGAGCGAAATGGAGTCAAAAGACGGTAAAAATATGGTTTCGGGGCTGCTAGTGGAGACAGTACTTTGTTAGGCATTGTTAGCGCGCCAATAACTTTAGTGGAGGTAGTTAACAAACGTCCACGTGGAGACTCCCGGTTATTGGACCGCTAACAAGGCCCCTGTTTCCACATGGGCCCTACGTTCTTCGCCGTTCCTTCGCCTCCCAACATTCCCTTTTCATTTCTATCATACATTTATATAGAATAAGCGATATTGCAAAAGAAAGTGAGCAAAGGCGAGGTGCCGGGTGAGAATTTTCAAAAACGTCGCTAACAAACTTTTCAGTGGAAACACCCGGTTAGGAAGCTCTTTGTGTGTCAAGTTGACTTTGAAAAAGCTTTTGACAAAGTTCCAAGAGAATTGCTTTGGCTCAGGTTGGAAGAAAGAGGTGTGACAGGTGCCACTTTGGAGGCACTGAAGGCCTATTATAGGCGTGTGGAGCTCAAGGTTAACGTGGACGGGGTTCTAGGAGATTCGTTTTTCTCGTTTCAGGGAGTTAAGCAGGGATGTCCGTTAAGTCCTACACTCTACGGCATATTTGGGGAAGGGTTTGCGGATTATGTAGAAGCTAAGGACAGGCTTGCACCAGATGCTATGGCTGCTTCTGATTGCCCCATGAGCGACAGAATGCGTATCCCTTTGCTGTTGTATGCAGACGACCTTAGTCTCTTTGCTGGGTCGCACAGGCGATTAATGGCATTGTTGCGTGCGCTAAAGGAATGGTGCGAAGCTTTTGGCATGAGAGTAAATGTGGGAAAGTGTGAGGTATTGTATTTTCATCGGGACCAGGAGGCACGCAAGGCTATGCACGTTTTGGGTTCGTACGGGCTTGTTACCATGAGTGTGAAGGAGGCTACGGGACACGCGCTCAAGAGTTTACCTTGGAAGGAGCGCGCACGATATTTGGGCCTGCATTATGGACCGGGTACAACTTTCGAATCGTGCACAGATGAGTTGTTTACATCAGGCCAGAAGGCGCTCTTCTCGCTGGTTAGTAAGCTTAAGCGACAAGGGCTTTTTGTCCCAGCTGTTGCGGTGAAAGCGTTTGATGCCCAGGTTCTGTCTATTCTGTCGTACGGGGTACAGGTTTGGGGCCCGTTAAGGGTTCTGGACATCCTGGAGCGCGGTTACCCTAACAACCAGGAACCACGATCGTGTTATTTTGAGATTGCACTGCAAGACAAGATGGTGGAACTGCAGAAGAACTTCCTGAAGCAGTTGAGTGGTGCTGGCCTGCCAACAAATCGGCTACTATTCAGAGAGTTGGGTCAATACCCTTTGCAAGTGCATTGGGCAAACCTGATTTTTCGTTTTTGGAACAGGTTGGTTGAGGCAAAAGGTTCTGTGTACCACCATTGCTTTCGGGAGGAACTGCGGTTGGCATTATCAACTGGCATGACGTATGATGGATGGGGAGCGAAAGTCCTGAAGATCCTTGAGTTGATGGGTCATAACGTGCTGACGGGTGTGGACGACTCAGGCGACATTGAGGTCAAAGTTGATGCTCTGGCGACACGTTCACTAGATGTAGGCCAGTTGATCTGTGAACTTCGGAACCGATTTGATGATGACTGGGAAAGTGAGCGGTTGACAGTGGATCCAGCTTTGTTTGTTTCAGATAATAGGCAACCAGGGGTAAAGATGTGCCGCTATAAGCATTGGATGGGTTTGCCCAAGCATGTCAGCGGCTATATCTCGCCAAAACAGCACGTCACGCTGATGCGCTTCAGGATGTGTGTTTGGCCTTTGGCGGTTAATCGACCGCACGGTAGGGAACGGTCTGCTCGGTGGTGCCGGGTCTGTGGGAACCGGCAAGCTGTTGAAGATGAATGTCATGTGCTGCTAGATTGTCCTGCGTATGCGAATATCCGTTTGAAGCTTTGGGACCTGGGGGTTACTCCTGGGGACCGAATGATCGAGATTATGGGCGTCAAGGATCAACGCGGGTTAGCGCGCGTCTTGGACGACATTAGAAGATGCAGGTTGCAGTACGTTGAAGATTAATCAATCTGATATTGTTGGGTATTAGCATTATTTCTTTTTTGAGTTCCTGTTTCCAGTTTGGCGGTTCATGAGCCTTTTGGCTCGTCTGGACCGTACAAGCTTGAAGCTTGTAAACGTAAACGTAAAACGTAGGAAGCTAACTTCGCCCACAAATTTATCTGAATTAATTCCATTGGTCCATCGATAAAGAATCAGAATAGATTTCAGACGCAATTTTAATTGGGGTGAAGTAAGATGAAATGTTACACCATGACTGACTGACTGCAGTGAACCTATGGCCATGGGGGGCTTGGCCCCCGAAAGGCGCTTCGCGCCCGGGGCCTCGCCCAAAAAGAACACCAAGTAATAGACAGGAAGCAAAGCTGGCATCATTCCGGCTTTGGCTTCGGGAGGGCTTTTTGAGTTATATCAGCATCGTGGGGTTGCGCAAATGAACCAATCCCTTTGCCCGATGGTAGGCGAACGGGTTAACTCAGATCTCAGATAATGCAGGGAGGCATACGCGTAAGAAACGTCTAATCTTGTCTTTACAAATTGCAGAAACTAGATGGCTCCTGATGGCTATGCATTTTGAGGGCAGCCAGCCACAGCCACAACCAGCAAGCCGCGGCCGGTGGTGCAATCAAGGAATATTCCCACACTCCCCTAACTTTCCGCCTGGCGCAGGCTCATCACCATCAAAGTAATGGTGGGACAACCCGAAACGCAAAACAAAAAATGATTTTCAGATGCGTCAGCAACTGCCATCAGATTGCCGACGGACACATAGAAGCTTTGTTTGCCTGCTCGGACTCGGAAGCCAATAACGTTACAGGGGAACGACAGCCAGACAGACAGCCCAACTATAGTCCGACTGATTGATAATCGTAACCGCGATTAGAGGATACGAGTCGCTGTTGCGGAAGAATCCAAAACGAAAAAGTGGCCGGCCTGTTGGATTGATGGGCTTCTTACAGAGACTTAAATGCTCGCAACAACGGTGGTACGACAGCAAGAGAGCTCCAACATACCGAGCATCCGCGCAAATCAATTTCTCTCTCTCATTACCATTTTAACGTCTCTTCACTAAGGTAGCGGGTAGAGACAACCAGGAGCCAGCCAAACTACACCCCTCCCGTCCCCCCTTTGTGTAGTTTGGGTTGGGGCGAGCGACAAGACCACACAGCCAGTCACCCTAGGGGAAAAGCCCAGAGACCTTCGGTGACTAAAGTAAATCGCCTAGCAAGTCGAAAACCCGCTAAGACGCGAAGCAGACACTCAGTTGCGGGGCCGCACATTGCGGTCGTGACGATGGGGATCCAGGTGACACTCCAGCACCACCGAACCGGAGCTGGCTGAGCTCCATCAGGGCGGGAACTCCCACACCGGCCGACGCCGCAGCCTGCAGGGCGCCACGGCGGAAACTATGCACAGTTTCCCCGTCGTACAACTGGGGAGCCCGCAGGTGTAGCCGTAACTGCACGGCGAGAGTGGCACTCTGCAGCGCTTCCACCTTAAAAGCCCGCTGGTCCGCCGTCAGTGGGCGGAACAGTGTGTCCTGGACGGCGCTCCCAGGAGGGGCACCAGGCTGGGCACAGGACCACATGTACAAGGCCAGTGTCCGCGGGATGCAAAAGGCGGGCTCCACAATGTTGGGCTGCAGCAGCATCGGAGGGGCACACACCAGCCGGTAGGTCTTACTCCGACGCTGGCGGAAGCAGACGATAGGGCCCATACCAGGGCCCCAGAACCATGCCGGAGGTAGCGGGAGTCCAGAGTACGGCCGGTCGGGCTGGGAAGGTTCGACAAAGTCGCCCACCCCCGGCTTCCCGATATTGTGACCCCTCTGGGCGGTCTGCCACTGGAGCACACACAGCAGGTCCCGCAGGAAGACCAATCGAGGCAAGGCTTCATCAGTCACCGCCACCTGCGACCACAGGTACTGCACGAGGGCACGGTACTTGTTGTATGACAAGGGTACGGCCAAAACCTCGGTGTAACCCATGGCGACCTGAGACTGCTGATGAGACGCGCGGAAATCCTCGACCCAGACACAATCACAAGGATTGCCCGGCCAGTAGAGACGTCATAGCCACCACCCCGGCTTGCATGGCTGAAGAAATCACTCAGGGCGGACAGGTGGGACTTCACAGCCGCAGGCCCAGCAGGGCCACTACCCCGGCCCTGATGTCGAGGCAACCACCCAGCCGTCATGTAGACAAGCACATCGTCGGGTGTACAAGTCCACCAGTTCGAGCACGACCATGGCTGGAAAGCCAACTCAAGAACTCGGTGGCGGCACCATCCTGGCGAGACACCGTAGAAGAGGCTAAGGCCCCAGGAGCCACTGGTTGGCCGCAGCCAGACCAGGGTTCGACACCCCCCCATACGGTGCCCGTAAGTGTTTGGCCTTTTTTCGGTATCCCCGCAAGGGCCGTAGGACTTTACGGTGGCCCCCGTAAGGATTTTGGGGCGTGAAGCGCCCCCGTACGGGGCCGCCCCCGGACCGGCCAAAGGCCGTTTATGGTGGCTCCCGTAAGGATTTTAAGGATTTATAAGAGGCCGTACGGGGCCCGTAAAGTCCTATGTAAGGGCTATACAGGCATTATTCACAAGTTGTTTTCTGACGTTAGCAAAATTAATTTGAAGCCATACGGAGAGGATGATAATGAGGAGGTTGTGACTGACCCAGAGATTGAAGTACTGGTACAAGCAACATACCCCGCTAGTGACGATGAGGCTTTTAGTGACAGTGACTACGAGACCGACATAAAACGAGATACCGATGAGTCGTGCGTGGATGAGGATTTTGATGATGATGAGGAGGACGAGGATGAGGAGGACGAGAAAGAGGAGCAGAAGGGATGGGCGGCCGCGGCGGCCAAGGCGCTTGGCTTTCACTGAGTGTGCCGTGTCCCCTAGTGTAATAGTTCACGAGAAAAGAACGAAAATAACGATTTACAGGGCAAAAAAATGCAAAGCGTCACTTTCCGCAGCGTTTCAGCCAAGGACAGTGCCCCCGTAAAGGTTTTGCGGGGGTTACGGGGGCCCCGTAAGGTTTTCGGCTGGTACAGGAGCCTGGTACAGGGCCCCTCCGTAAGGAAAATTTGGGAGGTACGGGGGAGCCCGCGAGTTTCAGGAAGGTCAGTGTCGAACCCTGGGCCAGACCCCGCTGATAAGCAGCTTCCTGGTCCGCGGCTGGAATGGGAGGGAAAGGATGGAGCCGAGTGATCACCTGCTCTAGGCGACCGTGGGCCACACCCAGGGGAGTGGGTGCCTGCAGACGAGAGAATCACTTAGGAGCGCGCTAGAACGAGCCAGCAGCCAACGGACACCCCTACCAACCTGGGCAGGGACGCCCAGCGGGAAAGACCTGCCAACGGGGGGCCCGGCAGAGGCGGCGGCGACGCCGGCGGCAAACCCGGGGCCAACGAAGGAATCCTACAGGAAGCACCCGAGACACGAGAGTCAGCCATCACCGCACACGGAACAGGTGGTAGCGAGCAGACAACCCACAGAAGGCGCCAAAGGAAAAGACCCGAGAGATGGAGCCGGCAAACCAGCCCGGGGAAGCGGACCCCCGGGAAGGCTGAGGCCGCCAGTAGGAAGAGGGACCTGCGGAGAGCCGGCCTAGTATCACGGGAGCGCAGGAGTACACCATAATCGGACAGCGACACCTCACCACGCCTCGCAAGCTCCGCCCAGGAACAAAGGAAGGTGGCACAGAGCTAGTCGCAACAGTGCCGAGAAAGGCCAAGAAACTGATCTGTGCACGACAGCGGTACGGAAACGCGACAAAAATGGTCGCACATTCAGGACAGCCGGAAATCAGTGCATTTTTTAAACTAAGCCTAAGGAGAAAGCTTTCTCCTTTCCGCTTAAGAGATCAGCCGAGATGCAAGGAGGCAGACGAACAGGGCGTAAATCGACCACGCGCATTGGAGACCACAATACGGCGCAAGGGAAGCCAATAAATTTCCCTGTCATAAATACAAGCACTTACCGCCGCTCCGGACCGAAGACCTAAAACTTGCGGACCAGCCGAAGCTGAGGGCCACTTGCGCATCACCCCAATGTCCAAGCATTTCTGGATTTCTGACGTGACAAACGCGCTATGCAGGTTGGTGCTGCGGTGGTTGGGGAATTGGATGGCATGCGGCATTCTGCCGGTTAGGTAAGTTTCTGGGTTCACCTCGCGGCCAGTGGCTTGGCTGATCATTTGGAGGACTATACGGTGCTTCTTGCGGCGCTGTGGGGGAACTGAGGGCCCCAAGCCGGGCGTTCCCACCCAGGTGAAGCGCACCCCTTCCTCTAAGAATGCTAGCACCAGGCGTTAGTTGCGAGTTAGTGATTGTGTCCCGTTATGGAGTTCGAAGTAGCGGCGCCATAACGGGCTGCATGCTCGCGGGAGACCTGGCTGGAACTCGGCTGGGTTTCGAGCTGTGTTTCGTACTTCCTGACTTCCTGTTCGAATGTCACTTCTGGCGTCAGCGGTGTGCCCGAGGGCCCAGCCTGTGTTGCCGCGATGATACCGAGCCATGCCCGGTTCAGCTGTTCTGCTGCGCGCAATAGGTCTGTCTCGGGTGGTGCAGGCAACGCGACATCGGGCGGAAAAGTGTTGGTGACAGGCACTTTCTTAAAGAGCATCAACAGTGCGTCTTCTTCCGGGTCACACCACGTGCCAGCGTCTTGATCGTCTAGCCAGGGGGTTAGGGGGTCTGTCCCGGGCTCGTCTTCCACCCCGTGTGATCTCTTGCCCTTCCCGATCCGACTGGGGTCTGGGTCTAGCGTTCCTTTTTGCTCTCTCTCTGGCCAGTTGCTACTCCCAATTGCCGTCTGCAGCCAAAGTCAAGGTAACAGCCAATCAAACGCTTGCGCCTTACCAGGTCTAACCTCACTTGCAATCTCCTCCTCCCTGTTCTCTTTTGCAGGTCAGGAACGCAAGAAGAGCAACCTGACGGCTGCAACGGAGGGTAAGTGAACACCACTGCTCAGTAAAATCCTAGATACCCACGCATTGTTACTAAGATCAGTCATGAAGGTCATGTCCATTACCTACTTGAAACTTCCCTTTCATGCAATACATCATGTAGCTTGTATCCTTCCCTAACTTCACAACTAAATGTACAACCCCCCAGGCCAGGCCGACGTGATGGAGATGCAGCAGCAGGAGCCCCTCGGCCAGTAGAGCAGCCGCCAGGATGGGGATGAGGGAGATGATGGGGACTTGGGCGGGGAGGACGAGGGCGAGGGCGGGGAGGACGAGGACGCATGAGGCAACCCTCGGCTAAGGCTCGGGAGAGTCAAGAAGCTGTGGCCATGGTGGCGCCTGCTCGCATCAAGCATTCACACAAGGAAACCCCACCGGTGTTGCCGGAGGACCCCTCGGCTTTCGGGGCCACAGCGTTTAACCACACAAAGAGCAAGGAGTCGTTTGGTGTCGGTAACAGCAGTGTACAGACCCACGGGGCTAAGGTGCAGCAGGAGAAGGGCAAGAAGGGAGCCATGGCAGAGATTCGGAAGGGGGGGCTGAAGAAGCTGTGGAGGTAGCAGACCACGGGCAGTGCTCAGGAACATGGGGGATGCCTGCTGTTTCAAGAGACTCTCAAAGTAGCAGGCCATGGGTAATGCTGAGTAAAAAAGGGCCTCTAGTCCTCGTGGTACCTATGAGAGATGTGAGCAGGATGTAGTAGGCCATGGGCAATGCTCTGTGTACGAGGGAGTCTGCCATTCGAAGTGCATATGAGAGCTGACAGCAGGGGTTGATGGTCCGTTAACGGCATGTTAACGGACAGCATAGGACGGTATAGGTCACACCATCAACGGGTTCATATTATCCCATTAACATGATTGAGCTGGTAATCGCTGTTTAATGAGCCATTTGCGCAAGAAGCAGGGACAGAGTCCCGCCTCCAAGTAATGGAATAAGTAAAACAACGTTAAAAGTAGTGGTATTTCACCGTTGCCGAAGCTCCCACTTATTCTACACCCCTTAAGTTATTTCACAAAGTCGGACTAGAGTCAAGCTCAATAGGGTCTTCTTTCTCCGCTGTTTATTCCAAGCCCGTTCCCTTGGCTGTGGTTTCGCTAGATAGGAAATACCGTAGTCTTACTTATACGTAGGGTTTAGGTAGGGACAGTGGGAATCTCGTTAATCCATTCATGCTCGTCACTAATTAGATGACGAGGCATTTGGCTACCTTAAGAGAGTCATAGTTACTCCCGCCGTTTACCCGCGCTTGGTTGAATTTCTTCACTTTGACATTCAGAGCACTGGGCAGAAATCACGATGTGTCAACATCCTTTGGGACCATTACAATGCTTTGTTTTAATTAAACAGTCGGATTCCCCTTGTCTGTACCAGTTCTGAGTTGGCTGTTCGTCGCCTAGGGAACGCCACGAAGCTTCTACAGCCGTCCACTCAGGACACGCAGCAGTCCGCCCAGCCGTTTCCAGTTGGGTAGACCACCACAGTCCCGAGCTTCACAGCTGCAGACCCCTAGGCCCAGCCCTCAGAGCCAGTCCTTTTCCCAAAGTTACAGATCCATTTTGCCGATGGCCACCATGGCTACCGAGGCTTAGCTTCCAACTGCGCTTCATATCTGAATGTAGTCATGAAGATTCAAAACAACAGGATGGGTATCGCACGTACATACAGCCATTTGCTTAGCTGGTGGAGGCTGCAACTTCTCCTATGCGACGTGCGTGGATGGGTACGTGCCACGGGCGGATCGTCGCTCAGTGTCCAACCTGCAGTGCAGGGCCAAACCAAAGGAGCCGCATACGCATGAAGTGCATGCCGACTTTCGTAGAAGACATCGGGACCCAGTGCTGCCAGGTTTGCTTGGCATCACCCTATCTCCAACCGAGTACGTGTTTGCCGTCAACCCATAACACAAAACCAGGGCAGGAGGTGTGCACAGCTGTAAATGCACATCTACAGACACATGCATGCATATGTTCGGATCTGCTGAAGGTATAAAAAAGGTATAAAAATGTCCTAGATTATGTGATAATGCGTACTGGTGAATCAGCTTTAGCGTGCAAGTCAGGTGATATCTGAATCATGTTGCAGCACCAGCACCAGCGGGTTAGTTGGAGCGTGCTGGAGTTCTAAGAAACACGTCTCGAAAATGGCGGAGCCCCCCAATCAAGGTGCTGTTATCATATACGGGACCGATCGATTGACAATGCGAATTTTGACTTGGCTCAGTGCTAGCAAAAGGATATGCAAAGACGCACCATGGGTGGTGACGGCCTGGGTGACGGCGGCGGCTTCCTAAGCGGTGGGGGGGCCGACTTCTTCAACGGTGGTGGCGACTTGGATGACGGCGGCGGCGACCTGGGCGGCGGTGGCGGGGGCGGCCTGACCGGTGGCGGCGGTGACGGGGGTGGCCTAGCCGGTGGCGGCGGGCTGGGTGGTGGCGGGGAGGCGGTCCCCACCACGTCAGTTAGAGGGGGACACTGACTATCCGCGGAAATGTAACGACAGAGATAAACCGTGATAGCGTCGCTTGCATTCACGGAACTTGTATAGATGACGAGGTTGTAGGCAGGAAGCACGGAGCGGGTGAAGGGGCTAACGGAACTGATAAATTGAATCCGTCGGTCGCTGTAGATGAAAGAGTTTGGATAGGCATTGTCCTGCATGGCAACAAGGAAGTTTGGGCGGAGAGGGGGCACATCAGCAGGCAGCCACGGGCCATACACCACGCAATGGCAAAAACATGTTCATGCTTCACAAGACCGTTAGGCGCCTTGCATACATATGCAGTGCCTTGGCATGCACAGCCGACACATGGACTGAAAAGGCATGCACGGCGACCACAGCCCCAAATCCCATCTTCGCCAATCAACTTTCCGGCCTCGCGCTTAGCCCTGCAGTTCTGGACCGCCCAGGCGCGGTCCAGACCTCGCTTCGGTGCCCCATCACATACCCCGCGGCGCTAGCTCACCATGGTTGCGTTGACCTCATGGACGTTAACCTTATTGGCGTACATACTGCCAAGCGCGGCATCGCCAAGCTTATTGACACGGAGTGCAAGATACAGGTTCTTGGCCAATGTGCTGTTTGTGTAACCAGGCAGCCAGTCCGGCACTACACGCAGATGGTTGCCATCACCGGTGAGATAGGTGGCTGGCAGAGACCATTTGGCGACACTGCCGGCGGTCTTCAGGACGGCGGAGTTAATGGCGCCACCGCCGACGGCGGGTGTGGCCCAGCCCAGTCGGGACGTCTCCGCGACGTTGGGGCAGGCATCTCCATGGCCCATGGCGGTCGAGTAGTCCTCGGATTCCGAGCCGTTGCGCCAGGAGTGCCACAGGCCTGAACGAGGGAACATAACGGAGAGAGAGAGAGAGCCAGGTCACGATTCCAGACATTAACAAACATGTCGCAATTGGAAAGCGCACGACAGGCGAACCTTAGCAGGCAGGCTGTAAGGCAGCAAGGGGTCCCAGTAGCATGACGGGTGCAGGTGTGGAAAGGCCACATAGCCATGCATCATACACACACATGCACACACACATACCCGCATGACATGACACAACAGAACGCAAGGCCCAACACAAATGGTGAGATGATGATGCTCTATCTTGGCACGTAACACACAACCCCGCGTGGGTGCACCGTGCTTTCTTAAACCCCCCTCCTCCCTGCGCACCGTAGTTGTGAATGCCTTCCTGCATCACCGTCGCCCAGCGCTGGACTCCGTAGCCGCTGCTCTGCAGCCATGTCTGGCGCCCGGGTAACAAAGCCAGGCTCGCCCAGGCGCACACGCTCTGCAACCCCGGAGGCAGCACGTATGTGAAGTACGGGAAGCTGGAGAAAGCCGCAAGGCCGATCAGACTCTTGGTCGCGGCATCGGCACCCTGGGAAATGGCCCACCAGCTGCAGGAGCTGGTGACGGCGGTAGAGCAGGGTACGCTGACGCGAACCGCCATGAAGGCGGTTGTGTTCAGGCCAAACTTGCCGTATGAGCAGTCGGAGTACTTCTGCGCGACACCGCCTCGGCCATCCTTGTTGGGCCCCAAGAACACGTTGCGAACGTCGTCCTCTGTCAAGGACGGCGCATAGCCACAAGAACCATAGTCCAAAATCATCACCAGCAACTTCTGGGTGCCATGTGGCGTTATGACGAAAGGCGAGAGTTGACCCGTCGACATCACGATGCTGAACTGGGCCGCGGCCACGCATGCCGGTGTGTTCGCATCGTCCGGGCATGTGCAGTTGCCACCTATGTCTCCACAGCCACAGTACTTGGGAGGGCCCACCTCGCATTTCTGGGGAGAGATGAGGTTTGGGAAGAGGATAGAGGACGCCACGTCATGTCAGGTCACGGCGCAGCAGAAAAAGGCCAAGGTGTGCATGTGCGGTGATACACAACGAAGAAAAGCTGCGTCTCAAGGCAAGTGAAATGCTAGACGGACAGACACGCGTGGAAAGGATACGCGGGGGCCGACCGCGGGGCGGCTGCTACTATCTTTGTACTCTGGGGACATGGAATGGGACAGGGCATCGGGTCAGGGGACTTGCGATGGAAAGCGCGACAGCCCGTGTTCATGCATGCCGAAAGTTTATTAAGCGAAACTGCTGGGAAGAAGGGCTTTGGAACGAAGCGCGGCGCATGCGGTATTGCGCCTGACTAATGTTGCCTGCTGCTCTTTCGAGGGGTTTAAACATGTGAAATCATTTTTAAGTTTTAGATTCTTATTTTGGTGGACATTTATTTTGAATTGACTCGCTGGACTGAATCGGAAATGTGGGCGGCAAACTGGACCACTCGCCCGCCAAAATATGCGCCCGGCATTATTACTTGGAGAATGGCGGAGCAAATAGTGGGTCCTTTTCTCCCTTTTGTCCCTCTATCAACACAACCAGCTTACCATACTGACAATGGAGCCTATTTCTAAGGGATTGTTGTCCTTATCGCCCTCCGGCAGCACGAAATCCGCGCAGAACGGGGTCACCACTCCCTCGGCATCGATTAAAGCATATCGGGCCTTGTTGTCGTGGGTAATTACCGAAGTGAGTTGTCCCACGAGATCAACGGTTTGCCCTTGGGGAGAGGGCGGAGGGGGGTCCCGCCTAGGCTTGCCAGGGAGCGGGCTGGCCCCTGCAAAAGCAGCAGCAATTAAAGCAGACAGGCGGACAAAATTTACTGATAGGGCAATAAAACTTAAGCTTTAGGAATATAAAATGTTGGCCTCCTTTTGCAGTGAGGCCACCGTCAGTGAGCTTTCTGAGTACCCATGACACTAAGCTTAAACTAAGCAGCCAAGCCGCGGAGACAAAGTTTTCGCCAAAAAAGCAGGTAGACATTACAACTACAGCAAGCTAGACTCTGTTGACAAGCTCGAATACTACATTAACGTACCTTCAACTACCACAATGGCTAGCAAAGCGAAAAGCAGGACGTGTGGAGACCGCATCCTTTCAATTAAGAATGTATCCGATATGCTACGTACAAATGAATGATGGAGCCTTGAAATGTACGTTACTGGCTTCCCCTTAATAATAACAATAGCCAAGGCGATTCACAAACGTCTGAGTTGAGAGCTTGCGCTGTAGATTACTCCCTGACATAAATCTGACTCAACATCCTCAGTTCAACATAGCCCATTCAGCGTTTGTAGGACCAGGAATATCGATTTCAGTACCGTAGTCCCACAAATAATTCGTGCCTGATGATTTCGGGTCACCCTCAAAAAAAGCCCAGGAATAAATTCGCGATTTTTGAAATTCGGGCAGCGCCAGCAATAATTTGCAAGTACGGCACAAAAGTTCGGGGTCGCCGCAGGCTCGGCGTTTCTGCCGTGCTGCATTCCATGCAACAACTTGTTTCTTGAGGAAACACCTATGTACTTGAATACCAAAACATATCAAAGCTAAAGCCGTATCATAGCTGATTCCACGTCTTCTTGCACGCCAGCTGGTTGTCCCTTGCAAAAAACGCTGACGACGTTGCCTCAGGACATAATTTGGCAAGCCTGTAAGCATTACGTGCTATAAATTCGGGGTACCCCCCGAATATTTGAATCACGAAGTATTTGTGGCGCACGCCGTAAAAGACGCTTCCAGGAACACTAATATGTGCAACGGGTGATTTTGCAAGAAGAGTTTCATTGGGTTAGTCCTCGGCTCTATTTTCATCGTAAATATTTCTGACGTCTGGCGGGGAAGAAACGTTTCAGGCTTGGCTGGAAGGAGCACGGAAGCGCTTTGTCGTCTCCAATATTATTCTTTTATCAGCATGACTTCAATGCCGCTCCTGCTACTAGACTTGGCTGGTGTGCGACATACTCCTAGCTTGTGAGCGTAAGTAGCGTGGGTAGGTAATGTACACGTGCGTAAACATTGCTTAAACGTCATCGCGTGATCCGTACTCACTACTAACTTATTGTGGGGAAGGCCATTGCGTCTGCGACCACACTCCCGCGGTACCCAAACCCTTCAAAGACAATTCCGATCAGCCATTTGGCTGTTAGTGGGAGGGCGGGTGGGCCGCTCGCACGGCAATCGAGTAGAGAGTACGAAAATAACCTAATGCAGTCATCGACAGCAGAAAACGTAAGCCTCCAGCCTCATGCCGACTCTCTTACCTACCATTCATATTCTCTACCTCGTTCCCAAGACTCCGCCGCGTTGCCTCTAGTTCGGCTCGTGCCACAGGTAACTTCGCTCGTCGCTACTTTGCCATTCACCTTCGCCTCCACCCAGCCTCTGCTTCTCCACAGAAGCGGCGACCTCCTTCGCCGTTGTTACGCCTCGTCTATGCGAATCCTCCTCATCCGACTGTGTCTTCTGCCTACCCGGTGCGCGCCCCCTCTCTCTGCGCATCCTTTTCTCTGGCCCTCTCTTACGGTTGCCTACCTTACTGCAGGACTCGGGCCATCCTGTCCGGTGCCGGGCAGGCTTTCCTTGCCTTCCCCGGCCCTACTTGGGGCGCCCCTCCTCGGCTCGTCAACTACCTTACTTTCGTCCGTTCCTGCCCCTCGG